GGCCGAGCCGCCACAGGTGGTGCAGATCCCGCAGCAGGCGCTGCGCGTGGTGCAGGCAGCGTCCGCCACGCTGCCCACCGTCCCACAGAAGCCTTCCCAGAACTTCCAGATCCAGGCGGCGGAGTCCACCTCCACTCAGGTACGGGCCCTCTGCCTTCCTTTCAGTTTTAGTTTTTCATGCCTGGGAATTGAACTCAGGAAGTTGCATTTGCCAGGCTGGCAGAGCACCGCTGAGCTAAATCCATGGCCCAGTGTTTTTCTCCCCCCAACCCCTCATGTCCGCCGCCCCCCGCATCGGGGATGAGCTCAGGTCCTTGTGCTTTACAGGCAGGCTAAATCCCCCACCCTCCCTTTATTGTAGGCCTCTTGGGGATTGGGCACGGGCAGAGGTACAGTATTTGTGTGTGTGTTTTGAGACAAGGTCTCACTTCGTGGTCCAGGCTGACCACAGCTCTCCATCCTCCTGTCTCAGCCTCCCAAGTCCTGCAATTGCAGCTGTGCACCCCACTCCTGGCCCTGATGCACACCTTTTAATAATAAAGTTCTGGTTTTTGGTTTTGTGTTGCTGGGGATCAAACCCAGGCCCGTGTACATGCTAGGCAAGTTCTCTGCTGCTGAGCTACACCCCTAGCCTGGTTTGTTTTTTTATTGTAGAATTTATATAATCAGAACAGCTAGCAAGAATGAAAAAAATCCCAGTCAGAACTATAGAATTTGTTTTTGGTTTTTTGTTTTGTTTGTTTGTTTTTGGTACTGGGGATTGAACTCGGGTCCTTGCACTTGCAAGGCATGTCACCGAACTGCTGAGCTAAATCCTCGGCCCCACAACTATAGAATTTGACGTAATATACAGTTAAGGAGAAAATTGCTGCTCATTGTGAATAACAAGAAAAATAACATGAAGAACTTTATATCGGGACGTAAAATTTAGGCTTGGATCCTGTGGAATGTTGAGTTCAGCAAGAATGTTCTTTGGCCTTTGTCTGCTACTGCACATCTCTTTGGTTCTATGAGGCAATGATCATTCTTTGTTCGTGCTCCTTAAATGTTAGAGATGAGCCCGTGTGGCAGATGGAGACGCAGGAACCGAGAGGGTAAAGTGCCTGCAGCTCACTGGGCACAAAGGACAGGAGCCCCAGTCTGAGCTAACTTCAGACCCACTTTCTTCCGGGTTCTACCTTGACTCTGTGTGACAGGTGCTGCCACTGAAATTGGGGAGTGGGTTTGTTTGTTATGAGAAAAACAGCCTCAGGTGTATATGCATAGAATCCCAGCTAGTCAAGAGGCTGAGGCAGGAGGATGGCAAGTTTAAGGGCAGCCTGGGCAATTTAGTGAGATTGTCTCCCTGAAAAAATCCACATAAAAACAAACAAAACAGAAATCTGCAAGGAACAGCTACTGCCAGGTGAGGCGAGGGCCTGAGGCAGCACCTCCTCAGGTGTGTGCCCTCATCGCAGCACCCTGCCCTTCTGTTCCGTCGGCTCCTCCATCTGGAGAGTGAAAGGGGCAGGAAATAACTACACATTTGCGGAAAGATTAAGCTATGACTGCTTTTGTTTTGTTCTGTTTTTTGAGACAAGGTCTCACTACGTAGTTGAGACTGACCTGGAACTCACTGTGTAGCCCAGGCTGGTCTCAAACTCACAGCGATTCTCCTGCCTCAGCCTCCTGAGTGCTGGGATTACAGGCGTGTGCCACCACACCCGGCTATGACTGCTTTTTTATTTTTGTTTTTGTGGTACTGGGGTACTGAGCTGCATCCCCAGCCCTTTTGTGTGTGTGTGTGTGTGTGTGTGTGTGTGTGGTACTGGAAATCAAACTCGGGACCTTGTGCTTGTGAGGCAGGTGCAGAGCCACTTAGCTACATCCCTGGCTGATAACGGAACTTTTTAAAATTTTGGGCTGGGGGAAAAAAAACACTTGGGGCTAGGGATGTAGCTCAGTGCCACTGTCCCTGCCTGGCAAGTACAAAAGGTCTTGAGTTCAGTCCCTGGTACCAGAAAGAAAAAAAAAAATGATGTAGTTCAGGCTGTTTTTTTTTTTTTGGTACCGGGGATCAAACTTGGATCCTTGCCTTTACGAGGCAGGCGGCAGAGTGATGCTGAAGTCACTATGTAGTAGCCTGGCTGCCTGGAACTCACAGCGATCCTGCCTCGGCCTACCAGGGGCTGGGATGGCAGGCGTGTGCCACCACATCTGGCAACACCTTGTGTATTTTTATTTTCCTACCTTTGCCAGTCTGAATTTGAGAAGGGTTGTTTCTCATTACCTCCTGGCTCTTGAGGACAAACTGAAGCTGTAGATATTCATTTGGTGGTCATGTGGGTTACACCACCTTCTGACTCTGTGATTGATTGCGCTTCTCTGTGCTCAGCGTGTGTGATCAGAAGCAGCCTGTGCTGCCGTGGGGGAGGACAGTCTGGCTGGGAGCAGCGCAGCCACTCTGCCTCTCTGCCTCAGGTCTACATCCGCACGCCTTCCGGTGAGGTGCAGACGGTCCTCGTCCAGGACAGCCCGCCAGCGACAGCTGCGGCCGCCTCCACCACGCCCTGCAGCAGCCCTGTGCCGCGAGCCTCCAGCCTGAGTGGGACCAGCAAAAAACACTCCGCTGCCATCCTGCGCAAGGAGCGGCCTCTGCCCAAGATTGCGCCGGCTGGGAGCGTCATCAGCCTGAACACTGCGCAGCTGGCGGCGGCCGCACAGGCCATGCAGACCATCAACATCAACGGCGTCCAAGTCCAGGGCGTGCCAGTCACCATCACCAACACTGGCGGTGAGGCGCGCAGTCACGCCCTGGGGTTTCCTCCCTCACAGTAGTGCTGAGGCCTAGAGGAAGCCCGCTGTCCGGTGGCACAGTGGCTGTCCTAGAAGGCGATGAAGATGGCAGGTGGAAAGGAGCTTTCCGAAGGACGCAGGGACGTGCGCTAAGTTGGGCGCTGCCTGAGGTCCCGAAGGGCTCCTGAGAGCGTGGCCAGGAGGAGCAGAGGGACCTGGCTGGGAAGGGAGACCGGACCGCCTGCTGTGTGGTCTTTGGCATCACGTGCCTGGGAAAGGGCAGTCTGGTGGCTGTGAGGGCTGAGGCTCCTCGCCCCAACCTTTTGGTACTGGGGATCAAACTCAGGTCCTTGGCAGTTACAAGGCAGGCGGTGGCACCACTGAGCTAAATCCCTGGCATCCTCTCCCCATCTTTAGTGGATCTGTGGCACTTTCTGCAATCTGGTTTTCTCACTTGACGACCCAAGAGGGAGGACGAGGTATCAGAGAGGGCTTGGTTTTTCCCAAAGCCCCTAGAGTCTGCTTTTTTTTTTTTTTTTTTTTTTTTTTTGGGC